AAACAGTCAGGTGATCAGAGATGGTTTGTCTCAGCAGTGAGTCTCTTACTCCACCAGCAAATTTTCACCAGAACTGAAAGACAAACAGTTTCTGAGTAAAACCGACAATCTTGAGTATTATAACAGATTAAATTAAAATATCCTTCACAATATTTCTATCACTTGACTGCTGGAAGTGTGATATGACATGACATTCATGCAGGGGCAGATTTACAAGTAGGGAAAACCAGGCAGCTGCCAAGGGCCCCAAGTTCCTGGGGGCCCCATAAATCTGCCCCTGCATTCATGACTTTAACATTCTTGTTGATAATGCAGAGAAAAGGAGTTTAGTATTTTGTGGAATCAGGTAGTGAATTAATAGTCTTTCAATCATTCTTATTCATAATACCTACCTGCAATAATGCAGGGTATTAGCAAGAGCCGAATGATCAGAAGGATTCGATGTAAAACAGACAACTCCCACAGGTTTATTGTTTTGCCTCCATACCGGATCTTAAAAGATAAATAGAATCATTTAAACAGACTTCAAGCTTGAGTTATAATGAGAGAAAAAAACAACAACTAAGAAATAATAAAACTCTTGTATCCCGGAAATGTAATTTATTACAAACAGTAGGTACATTTTGAGATGATTTGGATTTTTACTTGAGTAAAGTATTTTACTTGAAATTCTCCCAATTCCCCGAATTTCAATACATTTTTTTTAAAGTGTACTTCATGCCATAGTTTTAATATAGTTTACAGTACCTAGAGTAGAGCACATCGAATCCTGCAGGTCATCCTTTATCAATGAAAGTTTATAAAGTATTCTATTTGATTTTATTCTAAATGGGACCTATTGGTTTTAGTTTCTTCCTGTTAGAATACCAACAAAAATAATGTTCTTAATGTTGATATTTTTATTTAAACAAGCTTTAAAACAAAGTCATTAAAGCCTATAACTGATGTGTTTCACAATCAAAGTTTTTCATATGAAATTTTTGCTTTTAGTGAATATTCCTAAAGGAAAAGTCAGATCATATTCAGAATATGAATATGCAGTCACAGATCTGATGCTGTGCATTCCCCTGGACCAACGAGAAGCTGTCTAAGAAGGAATCTGGTCCCTCAACTGTCCAATCTCCTTCCAGAAGTTCCAGTTGCTGACTCTGGTGAATCCCTCCCAACCTGCAGCAATGAACTGTTTAAATGCTAATTGCTGCACCGGGTTTATTTCTGGGTCTGCCATTTTCTCCTCATTCCACCTGAATCTAACACCTGAGCCATAAACAGTCATCTTCCCCCAGGGAACCTGGTGGAAGTCCCTACAATGTAGCATTTTAACAGAAAAATGTCCCCACCATGTAGGAAAAACAAGTTTTAACCAGACGTGGCAGAAAACAGGTGACTGATTCCAGATGAATTTTGTCATGGTTTGGCAGTTATCATCTTAAACAATGCCAAATATGGAGAAGCATCAATTTAGATTTACCTTTATCTGGTTAAAGTTCTGCAGTCCTTCCATCTCACAGATTAAACTTTCTGTCTCATTGCTGCTTTTTTTGGATACGACGATGCACTGGTGTTGCTTTTCACCTTGAATCACCCAAACCTCCAACTCTTCTGGTTTCATCTCCAGCTTATCTGGCTCTTTCTGAAATACCAAAAGCTTTTTAACCTTTAATAATCTAATATCCAGATGTTTAAGTTAATAAATATGTGGTAGAAATTGTCTTACTTGGATAATGATGCGGATATCCTTGCCTTCCCTCACAGCTGTGTAGCTGGTGAACTTTGGGTCAGGATAGTAAATTATTTCTTTTTTACATTTCAACGACTGATTGGCGACTTTCAGAAACACGGGGCTACGTAACATCCCAGCATTTGTTTCTGAGGGAGTTTCATAAATGAGATTCTGAAACATAAATAAAAACATCGCCAGTCTGGGATTAAAGAATCTGAACAGTTCTTGTGACACATTGAGCTTCACTTTATTAGCAAACCTCTCATAGAAATGATTTCATGCCTCCTCATGAAACAATGTTTTCTGTTTGGTTAATCATATATCTGCAGTTACCTGAAAGCTGCTTTTCCTTAAAGGTATGACTTTCTGCTGGGTGTATTTGTGTGTGATCCCCTCCACCAAGTCTAAGTTCGTCCCAATAAGGGTGAGCTTCCTCTTCCCACTGTAGAACACAAATCAACAGTGAGAGCAGATGGACTTTTCCTAACTTCTCATTCTAGGTATTTTAGTACTGAATATAATGTTACCCACCAAACACTTTTATTTACTTATATACTGCTGTGAAAATATCTTTACCAGCTTTGAAATGTTTTTGAAATTGAAATTTGGTATAGCTAGTACCATCAAAGATTAAATCAATTAATGGACAAAATACCAGAACCAATTTGGCCTTGTGTGAACAAGTAACTGCAATCCAAACCCAGAAACTGGTTGAGGCACTCAAAAGTTAAACATCTATAATATTGAAGAATTTCTTATTTTTAACACTTTTAAAACTCTTCTAAGTAGATTAGTTTTATTAGCATTAAAGTTTTATTCAAGCATGTTTAAGGTTACACCACCATGCCTTAGTCAGATTAATGCTGCTTTCCATTTCACAAAACAACAATGCTTTGCGCGGAGAGCTCTCCATGCAAAGCATTGAGAGTTGCTGTTACAGCGGCCTGTTGTCGCCATAGGCTGTAGCTACCAGACAGCGGTAACTAATAACAAAGATGGTGCAGGCACCGCGGGGTAGAGGAGGAGTTACATGACCAACGGGGAGCAAAAAGCAGTGATCATCTGTCTGAACGGTCAGTTAACTGAGTTCACTATAAAGTTCACTATATAGTCCCCACCTCTAATAGTTATGGAGGGATTTAGGGGTTAGGGCGAACGTTCGGACACAGTAAGATTCTATGAGCAATGAGAACAGCAACTTTTAAATGTGCATGAGGAGAAATGGGATCATGCATGCTCTCACAAGCGCATTTTTTATAAGTGGATACGGCGGTTCTTTTGAAGATATTGCAAAATTCATTCAAAATACCTTTAAAAAAGGTGGAAAAACTATAATCAAAAAACCCTGAATAAATAAAGCCAGTAGCGCTCATTCAGTAGATCAAGGTGCAGGGTCTAACAGCTTGCAATATGTGTACAGAAAAGCTCAAAGCAGCTGATCTTTATAAATGTTGACAATGCTTTTATTCCTCCAAGATGATAACTCAATCAAAGATTCAAACAGTAAAGCAAAAAGAGAAGCTTCATTTGCAGAGATGTGACAAACCACAACAGGAGGAACAGCTTTTGTAAGACGGAGGGAGGGACAGAAACATCTAATAATGCTGTGGAGAGCAAGTGTGCAGCCTTCTCTACATACAGGGAAAAACTATGAATCCATATTTTTACTTGGAACCAGCTAAATGTTCTATTACATAAAAAATCGAACAAATCTCAGTTCCCCCTTAAACCTGGGGTACAGGTCAAACCATTTCAATAAATGCTCTGATAAAGACTAGCTTTGTGACGGTTGAGTTACTTCTGGTTTACAAGTTAAGTTGGTCCAAAATAAGATTAGTGTGTTAACATTTTAATTGGTAAAAGTTTAGATTTATGCAACTGTAAATAAATTATTATCACATCTGACAACATGTCAGTGCATAGTGTTCTACTGCTTCTGGAATTGGTGAAGGTAAATATTTTGTTTTGAAAATTGAAATACCTCGTCCAGGTGCTTGGTGGTACAATATCTGTGCAGATTGGTGATGACTGATACGTAATTGTAAAATGGCCGTGGCAGCTTCCATCCGGTAGTAGGACACAGACTGTGGAAATGCCTTTGTTTTCTGTACTGGGAATGTGGAACGACAGACTGGATCCATTGTTGCTCAACACAGGAGATCTGAGGAGAAAGCACAGGAAACCAGAGAGAGAAAAACTGTTAAAACCATAAACATGGATGAGAGCCAACATTGAAAAACAGCAATAAAACTGACCAAAGTACATCATGTGTCTCTGAAATAGGAGACGTTACCTCAGCTTGTGTTTTTCTTGTATATCTAAACATGGGTCTTATAAGGAATTAGAAGAGTTTTCCCACACAGCAGATAGTCTACAAGTGGAGGACAATCAAATCAAACACCAGTAAGCCCAGCTTTGACTGTCAAAGCGAGTTCACCCCAAGAGTCTCCAAAAACAATAGCAAAAATGCTACTGTTAGACTTCAGCATCTGTCTCACAGAAAATAACACATTAGCGCATGTTTTTCAAACATTGGTCGGCCTGCTAACAATCAGTATTTGGCTCCCTTCCCATTGGCAAAAAAGCTGTCTCTAACCATTCGCTTGTAGCTGCGTATCTGGTGAAACGAGTTGGGTTACCGTTGATGATGTCACCAGTCCGACAGAAATCAGGAAAGTAACCATTGGCCATTTCTCAATGCACGCGAGTACGGACTCATGTTCTCGCCAAGTATGTTCTTGACAAGAACACAGGAAAGTCTGGACTCGGTGAGAACGCGGCATAAATATGGGTCAACTGGAACATAAGCATACTGATGACATCACCAAACGCTCAGCTCATCTGGAGCTGCATTTCATCTCATGTTATTAATAGTTTCTAGATCAGAGGTCACGGATTAGCGGACCGCCATCCGGATCCGGACCCACCTGCTGGTTATTCCGGACCCAACCTCATTGAAAACATTTATAAATTACCACATGTTGTCTGATGACAGTGTCTAACTGCTTCTCCTGAAGTAAATTCTGTAACAGATTATAAATAAAAATGTCGTTATTGGTTGTTGCTTTTCTTTATTCGGACCCTGCTGATTTTTAATTGGTTACCCCAGGTATAACAGGTGCTTTTTCAAAAACCAAACAACACAGCAGAAGAATAACATCATTTCGGCATCAGTAAAGTACAGAACGACTCACTCCTTTGTGTCACAGCCCATGTTGTCCTGAATCCTGACTCTGGTCACATCTCTGAGGTAATGACCTGACAGCACAGCATGATTTCTGCCATAGAAAGACACAACGCTGGGAGAAACGGAGGAGATCTCTGGTTTCTAAGGGAAACACAGAAAATACAGCTGTTACTCATTATATATCACTAATATTCAAAGTTTATAAAGTGAGCACATAGATCAGCAATAATTAGAACTCACAAAAAAGTTTTTCCCAAACTCCATGTTTTCACAAATGCTTTCCTTGAGGAAGAAAGAGGTGAAAAAAATTCATAATCCTGTGAGGCTGTTATTAGTCCAGTTTAATAAATTCAAGATTAAAAAGTATGAAAAAGGTTCATTTAAAAAATGTGGTGTTTAAAATGCACTATCTGAGGAGAAACATACAAAATGTGACTCTATGTTTAGTTTAACCAAGCATTCATAAATTGTTCATCAATACCTTCTGGATTGGATCACTGCCCCAGGAGCAGCGGTTCTGTCTCCATCCACAGCCGGCTCTGATACATCGCTGACACCTGAAGAGAAAACGGTCACAGAAGTAAAACATTATAATACATTATTTTAGAAATACCAAGGTTCGAACACTCAGTCAGTGATTATATTGTTCTGGTGAAAGACGCACTGATCCAGTTCATTGAGTGAAGAATGAAGCTTCTCAGACCGTTTCTTTTTAGGTGCAGCAGGAAGCAGATTAATTTACCAACCAGTCATTGTCAGATTTAAATACCCGCTCTAACATCTGTTTTTAGGGAAATACTGAAGTTAAATTAAATAGTTTGATTGTGGGATTATATCAGATGTAATTGTGATTTGTGTTTTTTTCTTGAATGTTAGTAAGGTTAAATATTAAAGTGTGCCGGTTTTTCTTGCTAAATAATGGTGATCAGTGAGAAGCTATTGTTCCATTCTTTATGCTGAGATGTAGGGAAAGGAAGGAGGTTTGAAAAGGAATTTCCTCACTAGGTTAAATAAGGGGGAAACATAGATAAACAGGTCCTTATTGTGTTTAAGATCCTCAAGTCCTGTCTCTGGTGTGAACGAAAAACAGTTGTCTGAAATGTTTATCTGAACATATATTTATGTCTTTTGATGAAGTGTTTCTCTTGGAAAGACTCAATGTTCGTGTGTAAGAAGTCTTTATAATGCAAAGGTGGGGCAGGACCTAGTCAGAATCACACAGGGAGCTATCTTTAGCTGTTCTCTGTCGTTCTCCTCTGCAAAGCGGAATAAAACTTTTTCTTCCTTGCAAATCATCTCCCGGTGCTCATTTTTACTCCACATAATTATCCCATATTTCCTGTTTCCTTTCTATAACCAAATGCTCCTATGATTCTCTGTTAGCTTTAACATTGTCTAAGCTAAGCCTGGCCTAGAAAGTCTGGTCCGCCAGACTGACAGACAACAACACTGGAAGATAAGAGTATAAAGGCCTAAAAACATTGGATCGAAACAATGCTTTACAGTATTGATGCTTTGGACACTGATCACCAAAGATAATCATCAAACTCTGATTAATAATGTCTATATTATCTAGGTCTCCTGCTATGCATAGTATTAAACA